TGGTGAAAAAAATCTTATTCGAATATTCAAATATTCAGTGAATATTCGAATATAGTATTCATCGGATCAGACCTCTAGTTAACAGATCAAATAGAAATTCTAAGAATTTAAACACACACTTAAAGTTGATGTAGATGTCATGCTTGAAGTTGACTTAAATATTACACTGCTTGAAGATGACATCTTCAAGTACTAAAATTACCAACTATTACTAATATCCGATAACCCGAATAATAGCTCTATAATTAAAAATGTTTTTATTTTTGAGTATTGCTAATCTTAACCAGGAGAAAATTTCCCTATCTGCATATCAGATATTGAGATTTTATATAGATTTATATGTAGTATTTATCATTATTACAGAATATATTTATTTATTTATTACAATTCATAAATTTATTTATTTATTGCATTGTATAAATGTTTGAAACAATATTACAAACGTTTTGCCATAATAACCAAACCATATATATATATATATCGTACTCTACTGCATAATAATAATCTACTAATCCTACGTATTCTAAACATTACCCTAACCACTAACTTTAGCTTCAACCCATCCACGAATACGTACTAACGGACCCTAATTCTATCTAAAATCACTAAAATGATAAAACTCATACCCACATAAATTCATACATGACAATAGACAGATCATATTTCGCATTAGGTTACACCATCTTCAACATATCCTATTCACGAAGGTATCAAAACTAGAACAGAGATTCCAGTGATGACGATATTGAAACAACAACTAAAAGACAACAAACATAGAATTAACGATAAAACCAGCAATGACAAGGGCGCCAAAATGATGCAAACGAACGACGAGAACACCAATCTAAAAGAACACCAAAATGATGCAAACGAACAAACGAGGACACCAATCTAAAAGAACGAAGCGGTAATGACAAAGGAAACAAACAGCAGTTAGTAAGAAAACAAAATAAATAAAACAACGCGAAATAAACAAAAAGTAATGCCCATAAACGATATCAGCAGTGACATCAAATTAACTGAACATATGGAATCTTTGCCTTGAAAATGACCTTACGGTACATGATACCATAAGGTTATTTTCAAGGCAAAGACAACTCATCAAAATACGATGACACCAGCATACGACAACTCCAATAATGGAACCAACATATGATAACTCAGTGATAGCACTAATAGGTGACTCCAAGACACAGCATTAGTGAAAACGAAATACCCAAGACGAAGAGGAAAGGCACCAAAACGGCAGCTATAAAAAAAAAGGATACGTATATATGTAGACCATGATCTGTGTAACTGAGAGGGGATTTTCCTCCTAGCTAAGTGTAGTAATTCTCTATTTTTTTTATCGAAAATTTTAATATGATTTGTTCTTGAGCATGTAAAAATATCGTTTTTTTTTGTCAACGAATTTATCATGTCGAAACTATAAAACCACCTTGCCAATTAATATATGAAAAAACAAATCTGGAGAACAAGGGC